TAGGGGAGGGTATATTTGTGACGTGACTAAACGTCGGCCATGAGAAAGACTTGCTTACTTGCGGCTTGGGTTGGCAAACTAGAGAAGATTTTTTAAGCCGTTTATTAGAGTTTAGAAGGGTGAACGAATCAGCTACCAAAGTTGTGCTTAAACGCGCATTCCTGATTCATATATGTAGGGGGCATGTTATTTATGTTCTCCGGTTTCTCTTTTTAAAGACATGACATCAAGATTTCAGCCGAAAAGCGCAGTAATCATACTACTTTCTCGTGACCGGAATTGACCGTTCTTCCTTAAGCTTTAAAACTGTTTTTACTTGTTTATGCGCCGCGGTCCTTATCATTTTTTTCTAAAGCGGTGAGGGACATGGCTCTTGTTTCGTTTTGTTTGCCAGTTTTTTTCTTTTTAACTTAGCTAATTTTCATTCTTCTGGTTTAGTGGGGCATTTATCGAGGGCGATGTTGATTGATAGTTTTCCTTCAGTTTGCGATGTTTATCAGAGGGCGGCAATTAATTGAGTGGATACGGAAAGAGCTGGCTTTTGAACTTGGAACAACGTACTTCGTCGAAACGTCTCCTCAAATTACATGGCGTCCTAAAAAAGGTGCGATTATAATCTCATTTCACAAGATGATTGTGTGACTGCAAGTTTGTGTGTTCATGCTTCAGATCAGGGCCCAGTTGTTCTAAGCCTCATTAGCGCTAACCCAAGATTAAATTATAATCCAGGTTTCTTTATTCCTATGTTCAAAAGTCTCTTTGGAATTTTTTCCTCTGTTTTTTTATGGAGCATCCAATCATCGACTTATTGACAAAAAGAATTATGCTGAATTTTCTTTTAAACTTTCAGATGTGAAATCAGATTTGACATTAATCCTGGGTTATCTTAACCCAGCTGAAAACAACCGGGGCTACAGGGTGTAGAACCACAGAACCACAAGGTGTTAGTACCCTAAAATGAAGGTCTCCAGATTATCCAGGTAGTTACTGCTTCATACTGTCAAATTGTTTACC